CTAGTTTTTGCCTCGAGATTCATGCCCGATCAAGATAATTTTTGTGATGCCGTATCATTACTAAAATACAGTTTACTAATTTAATTTATTTTCTTTTTTTAATGGGCAGTCATTTGAAAAGAAAACGACTTCTCCTCAACCTGTCCCGGTCTAAACTCGGCTACCAGCGCACCTAGCATGCCCGACCAACAGGTCGATCAATGTCCAACACACATGACATGCATGACGAGTACACAAGGCATGCCAGCGTGGAGGGAAGACAGCTCAACCGGCGAGTCAACAACAAAGTTGACGATCTCCTTTACCCCAATAAAATTTTAATGTTTTCTTTTCCCCTATTAAATTATTTTTTTAAATTCCTTTAAAAATTTATCCTAAAATTTAACACCCTTAAAATTTATTAAACTCAGATATTAAGGATTTAATAAATATCAAAATTAAATCCTAATGGTTGCCACACGGCCCCTAATTACTCTATAAATTTGTTCTAACGCACCCAACCCGTCCGCACCAGCTATGAAGCTGACCGTTGGAGTCTTCTACACTGCTATTTCCTTCTTCTCTCTTCTTACAGTCTTCTCACCAGTCTTTAAAACTCTAACCCTACACTACATTTTGGCCGAGCAAAAGAGAACAAGAAGACAAACGATCGCTGGATGTTGCCCTCGAGGAAGAGATCCCTCCCCGCCCAAATCCTAGCCGAGGGTGGCGGCGACGCTACGGCTACGACATCCGTCTATGAGAAGTCTCGCAGCGAGAGGATAAAGGAGAACATGGAGAGGATGAAGAAGCTCGGGATCCTCGATCTTTCTCTCAACCTCAAGTCCGAATTCTGCCGCTCCTCAAGACTAAAGTCGGCTCGCATTCCTAGGGCCGGGAAGCCTTCGGCTCCGCTGCCGAGGCGCTCTTCTAGGACAAGAAGCCCTTCGGCTCCGTCTCTAGCTCCATCGCTGAGGCGCTCCTCTAGGTTTTTGATGAACTCTTTTTTTCGTACTATTTTCGTATTTCTTGAGGGTTTCTTTGTCGATTAGGTTAATGAAGATGTTTTGTTGTTTTGTCGCCTGTTAGGTTACAGAATGTAGCTCCGGTTTGCTATAGTGAGAGTGAAGTGGAAAGAAAGAAGGATCCTTTGGTTGATGACCGATCAGATTGGATCGAAGGACGTAGGGAAGAGGTTTATACCGAGGAGCATGAGAAGTTGCTCGGAAGTTGTGAAATGAGTTGGACTCTCTTTGTGGATGGTTATGATAAGAGTGGGAAGAGGATCTATGATCAAGTGAAGGGGAAGACTTGCCACCAATGCAGGTTGCTTGTTTATTTACTTTATTTCATATCTTTCCAGTGTTGGTTTCTAGTTTCAGGTTAAGTTTCTTCGCATTTTTATATGATCGTTTAATTGTTAAGGGGGTTGTGTGTCTGTTTGTTTCTATGCTATAGTAACTTCTCTGATGTTCGGTTTGAAGTGAAATGGCCGATGTAAAATTTTAGGGTTTATACATTTACCTCACAAATCTGCCATTGCAGGACCTTAATTTGCAGTGTATTCCGTACGCATCAAACCAAATAACCTCTAAGAGTCTTCTTTTGTGTTATTTTTTAGTTGAATGAAATGGCAGGATCTGACCTTTCTCCCTCATGATGGAACACATTGAAGGATAATATATTGAATAATATTGCAGCAACGTTAATTCATTCTATGAAAATAAGGAGAGTGAAGACATATAATAGCCTTCTTTGTTATACTAATAGTTTGTTACCTCATCACTTACCATCTGATGATGCTCAAATGGCATAAAAATACTTTGATATGTTTTCTAACTATACTATTAAAAAGAATTGGTATTCACTATTCTACTAATATAAAATCCCAGGCATTAATTTGAAAAAAATAATACTCACACTTTTTAATGAAAATTATAATTTTAATAATGTACTTATATTTTTAATATCATAATACAATCAAATTTCTTATTCTAACTCTCCAATAGTTTCTGATTTTATCTTAGGTTCATTTACATCAGTTTAGTTTATGACATATTGTTTGATAAGTGCGTCAATGTCTTGGGATCCCCTGCATTTTTCTTGTGATATATTGGCTTGCAAGCTTCTACAATGGTGCTTGCGTTTTTTAAATGTAGTGTTACTGAAGTCTGACAATGCTAACGATGAGTTACAAACTTCTATTAAATACTCTTTAAGTATCATTCGTCTGATTCTTTCAAGTTGTTTCTTATAGGGATAATTGGATAAATAGGCTTATGCCAGTACTTCTAAATTTTGGCTCCATAGACCATGCCTATGGCATATGCAAAAGCTTGCAAGCATATCTTTGCAATTAATATATTGAATACAAATGAGTTTGCAATAAATTAGTTTCTTATGCTGTTATGCTTTAGTGATATAATCTCCTTCTTTTGCTTGTAACTATGTTGCTTCAATTGAATAAGGAATCTTTTTTTATGTTGGTGTACTAGGTTGGATAAAATTGTACCTTTTGCTGTTATCTATTAAAGTTGGAGATGTTGAATATTTTATTTTTTCTATAACAATTTTGAGTAAGTTTCAAACCGGACGTTGTGCTGTTGATATTACTTCCACATTTCATATCCTAGTCTGAGACTTGATCTCTAGGATCAATATGATCCCTCAGATGCTTGTAAAATATTTTATTATTTTTAATGGAAGTATATCATTTTGCTCCTCTACCAAAATTAGACTTTTTTTACTGTGTAATTACTAATTTAAATGATAATTGCTTTGACAAATGTGCAATTTTTCTACAGGCAGAAAACTCTTGGCCACCATACAAGTTGTATAAAGTGCAACTTGGTTCAAGGGCAGTTTTGTGGAGATTGTTTGTATATGAGGTTTGTTCTTATTTTGTTGCTAAAAATAGCTGGATAAATAGGTCATTTATGTTTCATTTTGGTAGGTAGGCCATGCATGTTTTACTTTAGTCAGTACCCATGTAACTATTGCAAATATTTATCTGATTACATTTCTTAATTTTCTCTATAGGTTAAAGCATTCTTGTTCTGTCCAACCTTTCCCTAATGCTTTCCTTCCTTTCCTAATAGCTGAAACATTCATTTCTTCGTTTCTAGAAATCTTAATGTGCTACAAAATATTTAGCTTCTGGTTGCAAAAGTAAAATTCGGTCTTTCTTCCACAAATGTTGTCTTTATCACTTGAACTGATGGTTACATTTAGTGTTGGATTTGATCAATATTATATTTTATATTCTTTTTTTTTCTTATTGAATTTTGTATTTGTTGTTAATTTTTTATTTCTTTTTTTTTAATACTCTCCAAATGTGTTTCTCTCTCCACACTTGCTATGGTTTGAATAATGGCTAGCTTCTATTTTTTATTTGCCTATTGGCTAAGAACTTCACAATTTGTTTCATTTAGGTTCGCTCGTTAGCCTTCAGTCAAGGTTTTACTTTACTCTTGTTTCTCAAATAGTGATACGCTTCAAACAGGAAAGGAGTTGGTTAGTATGAATCTATGTGAACTGTGAAGCATTCTTCCTAACTGAAAAAGCCAGGGAGGAACAGGAGTTGAACCAAAACAAAGCTAATAATTTTAGTTGTGCAAACTAAGCTGATATGATAAAATTAACATGATTATAGGTCTTAACAGAGACTAGTGACAAATTAGGTTCATAATGTTTTATTCCATACCACATGCAAATTTCTCTAAAAATTTGCTTATTAAAGTAAGTTAAATAAAAGCCATCTGAAATTTGTTAACTTTCATTTCTCTGAACAAGGACAAAAAAAAAAAATGGTTGTATTGGTCTATGTCTTCATATACTTACAAAATCACCGTTGAAAAAGAATTTGTTGCTACTTGTATGATATTAATGTAGAGATGGTTAGCGGGAGGAATATATAGCAGGGAGGGGGGGAGGGAGGGAGAAAGAATGAACTAATGGCTTCCATTTCTCTCTAAACTCTTTATTGCACACAGAAATCTTCCGTGCAACAACTATCAAATATTTACTCTCTTCATGTTGATGCTGAGATAGATACACATTAGTGCTTCTTCTGATGTTGGTTTTCTTCTGAATTGATCTGTTAGAAGGGCACAGGAAATCAAAATGACTTGTCCTTCATGAGGTTATTCTATCTGTTATGCTTATAATGGTAGGCGTATTAGTTTTCTTAGTTGGCAGAGTTGGTATGTAGATAATGTTTTTAGCATTTATAATTATTCATCCACACAAGGGAAACAACATGAGATGGTTAACAGTAGCAATATGGTGGATTTGTCAGAAATTATATTGTCGGATTTGTTAGAAATTATAAAAAGCTATAGTTTTTACTTGATTAATTATGGTGCTTAATAAAACATGTCTGTGTAAAAGTAAAAGAAGAAAGTAATTAAAAAATATGATAAAAGGGAAATATCCTCAATACCAAGGTAATGCCACAGTAACATATTCATAGATTCATGTTATAAATCCAGGTCACATGTGATGTTATTGATATGACAATTTAATATTCTTATAATTCTAACTGGACTATCCTTGAAATTTAAGCTTGCATATCTTGAGGTTGAAGGAAGTTCCTATGCACTAGTAAATAAGATTGTGAAAATCACACCATCCTATGCACTAGTAAATAAGATTGTGAAATCGAAACAGACATCGAACTGAAAAAAGGAGAGATTAAGGTTCAATGGTTCAATCAGCGTTGAATTGGGGGTAGAACCAGATGATATAATAAATATTAAAATTATTTAACTAAAAAAAATAATGAAATAATACAATATTATAAATTTGTGATTAAAAAATAAATATGTTCACATATAAATTTAGAAATTTAATTTAAATTATTGTTAATTTATATTATATATTTAGATAAAATTTACAAATATAAATTATATATAAATTCATTTTATAAATTTACAATTATTAATCATTTATAATTAATAAATAGATAAAATTCATTTTTAGTAGTATATAATGAAATAATCTAAAATTTTAAATAGATAAATAATTAATTATGATTAATCAAAAAAGTAAATAATATTCGCTCTATTAAAAAAATATGTTTAAAAATATGTAATATATGTGTTGTGAATATGAAAATTTCAAGTGAGTTATTTAGTTTCACATCACTTGAGAGCCTTGCATTAAATTTGTTTATATAGCTTTTCTTATTTGCAAGTGGTAAGAACTCATATGAGGTGATGGAATCATTTGGGAGTGTTTTGTTGGTGTTTGGTTGATAAATATTCTTATAAATAGTTAATATTTATTATAAAAATAAAATATATTAAATTTAAATTAATTTATTAAATTTAATGTTTCATTCTAAATTTATTAAATTATTCAAATAGGAATTTAATTGAATTGGCCAGTTCTGACAACTCCAAACAAGTTTTATGCAAAGCCGGTTTTTAATATGAATCGAACCTGTCATATGACCGGTCTACGGTTGAATCTGGTTCCAAAATCATGATAGAAACTGACCCATCCAATTAAAAAATGAGACCATAATATTCTTATGGTGCTTATCTGGAAAAATACGCAAAAAAGTTTATAATTTTCTTACTGGTTTCGTGATCCAGCTCAACTTTGTTTCTTGTAAGCATGCCAATTAACTACCATTATATCACTAATCATTTAGGGGTTCATACAGATATGGTGAGAATGTTTTAGAAGTACTGAACAACCCCAGTTGGATCTGTCCTGTTTGCCGGGGAATCTGTAACTGCAGTTTCTGTAGAATCAAGAAAGGTTGGGCGCCAACAGGCCCTCTCTACAAGAAAGTGAGTTTTCTATGCCATTCTTAGCTTTGCTGAAATTGAGTTTTCTCAACAGAACTACCAGAAATATATAGTGAAAGGATAATTATGACTACATGCGAGACATAGTAAAGAAAAATTATCTGTTAATAGCAACGTATGTAGAGCTATATGCATAAAGCTGAGTGTTATTGTACCTCCGTTTTACGAGAAATTATTCTGTGCGGAGTCTGGACAGAAAGAACTGTATGAACTGTGAGTGTACACACTATGCATTCATAGCATGTACACTAATTTGATTCAAATTGTGTATACACAATATGTACACTTACATGTCCAAATAATTCTTCCCGTCCTGTCTCCGCACAATAATCTCTCCCGTTTTACACACTTTGCTCTACATATCTTATCTGCGTCTAATAAAACCAATCTGTTAACATCACCTTACACTTCATGCAGGTCCGAAATCTTGAATACAAATCAGTAGCGCACTATCTTATTCTTACTAGACGGGATAACTCAGAAAGCAACAAATCCATTGAGCCCAACTCTCCAACGATGTCACAGAGCTCAATCAATGCAGACTTAGCCGGAAAACCTGAGACATCTGCCATGGATGAAGATGAGCTAGAACAGAGAGATGACAACAGCAGTAAAAGCATTGAATCGATTGATGCGCTTTGTGATAGCGATGACCAAATTGTTATTAGCAATGCTGGTGAACTGAAGGAGGCTACTGAAGTTCTGAAACCAGTGTTATCTGCTGAATCATAGGCTTCGTTTCGTTTGGTACGGCTTTCTTGCTGCTTTTTAAAACAACTTTTTAGTATAAAAATTTTAATTTTTTATTAAAAAAATACTTTAAAAAGCAATAAAAAAACTGTTCCAAACGAAGTCAGAGTATGTGGAGCTGGTGGACTGCTTTTTTAGTCATTCTGCGTGCTTTTGTGATATGTCATTGAAGCTTTTTGAAAGAGCATTTTTTCACCATGTAAAGTTTTGGTTAAGTTTCTCTTTGAAGCTTGATGAGAGGACTTTGTGAAAAGATGTAGGGGTTCTTTTGTTGAAGTAAAATGCTCAATGTGAACTAATATATTTGAGTGTTTATTTTAAGGCTCAACAAAGAATTTTATGTTGAAGATTGCAAATTGATCAAAATAAAATATTATTGGCTTGGATCTATTTTGAATTGAAATGACTTGATTTTAATAAGCCAATCTGTAGTAAGGCATAGCTCAACTTGAAATAATATTGAGTTGATTTTGAACAGGCTTGCTAAATCACAGCCATATCAAGGCCTGCCAAAAACAGCTACTGAAAACTAAAATTTTATTTAGGATAATTTCTTAAGTAATTTTTAGTAAAAAAATTTTTATACTAAAAAATTGTTTGATAAAATAGTAAAAAATTTATTCCAAATGAAACCTAAATTAGGTATGATTGATAAGAATTGTGAATTTGATTTTATCTAGGCTTAGATATGATGGCTTCTCTCTCAAGTCAAATATTATAAAAAAATTTGCTCAATCATAAATCATTTTTTACAGAGATTTTGAATTAAAAAACTCTTAATTGGTAGCTAAAATTCTCAATCAGCAAATCAAAATCACAAAAAACTGATTATAATCGGTTGAAATTGACCTTTGAATCAAAACTGATCCAAATTTTTTATGAACTTGCCGCTTCGAATATAGATCAAATTTGACTTTCAATTTTAATCAAATTGCTATAATATAAAATTTAGAGGTTTTAAGTTCAACGCTTTTCATATTTATATTTTTTTTTAATTTCAAGTTGAATATTATTCTTATTTAAAATTAAATATATTATAAATAATTAAAATATCCTATCCCCAAATTTAAATTTAGATTTTTTATTTAAATTATTCAACGTTTAAATTTGCTGCTTTAAAATATTATATATTACATTAAAAAATATCATTATTACATTATTATTTTATTATTTAAACTATATTAAATTAATTTTAATATATATTACATTATCCAATTCAATTCTCGATTCAATTCAATTTGATATATTAATTTATGAAGAACTCAACTAACAACGAATCAACCACAGACACAAAATATCAAACATTAACTAACACAAATAAAAAATAAACAATGACACAAATTAACAAATCAAACTCAGAACAAAACTCCATTCATTCATATTAGCTCATTTACACCTACTTATCCAAACTTCTAAGAGAACAATATTAAGAATCTTTAAGAAGAATATCCTTTCTATAAACTAAGAATATGTTGGGAACAATTTTATTATTATTTTATTTTTCAGATCATAATCATTATTTTTTCAGATCATAATCACGATATATAAAAAGTTTTCATACTAACAACAACAACATCAAGCCTACATCCCACTATGTAAGGTCAGCTGCATGTCCCGCTAAGAGTTAAATTCTCATTTAAATATAATAAAGAAATCTCATTTCTAATATTTTCTAACCAAATCATTTTAGGACTACCTCTACCTTTCCTAACATAAGTCAAATCTATAACATCTATTTATCTAACCGGGTCATCGAAAGGTAGCCATTTTTATAACATCTTTCAAAAAAAATATATTTCTCACAACTTTATAACTATTTTTATAAAAAGCTGCAGCCGTCCCAAATAAATCCTAAAGCTAATTTCTAACTTAAGCAAGCATCGATAGCTTGGATGTGATCTCTCAATTAGCTGCTCCAACATATAAAACCTCCATCTTCACAAGAAAATGTATGTATCAATGAATAGGCAAATAAAATATCACAACACCATTGCATGGACATTATTCAAAGGGGCATATTTCCATAAGATATTCTAACTTAAACAATGCAGTCTCAATGCTTCACTTCAAGACAAGGACAACAAAAGTTAGTCCACTCCAGGACAGCTTGAGTTACAAGCACAAGCATGAAGGTTTATACCATATTTACTTAACCCTTAGTGAGCATAAATTTACAATTGATGAGGATTTCACGGACCACATAAAACTCAAAAAACAAGTAGTGCCCTCCAACGAAAATGAGAATCAAAATCAATGATATTTTTATGTACCTGAACAGACATGTTTTGTGAAGTCCATGCGGTGCAACCTAGGAATCCTAAACCAAGAAAGAGAATATTAGGTATGCAAAAGAAAAAAAACACCAAACTAGAATTACCAAAAAAAAAGACTTTCCTTCAATACGACAAATACAACAAACACTAAACATAACACAACAAAGTTTTCAACTTTTAATAGAAACCACTTAAAGTTATATTAGAACAAGACACGGCATAACTTCAGACTTACAATAATTTAAGAGAAGAAATATACATATGGGGCGGGAACCATGGAGAGAGAAGAAGAGGTAGAAAACTGAGACAAAGTAGTAGAGGGAAAGGGGAAAGAAGGCTAGCTCGCAAGCTAGAAAAATCCGCATGTTTGTAAACCAAAAATCATTCAATTCTCTTTTAAAAACTGCAGCAAAGCAGCCACCAAACATCCAATAGGAGCCAACACAGAACTTAAGAAATATCATAAGGGGAGCGGCCAGCACAGGAAATCAGCAAAAAGCAGTCCTAAATAGCATACGGAAGGGGAACAGCCAGCACAGGAAATCAGAAAAAAAAAAAAAAAAAAAAAAAAAAAAAAAAAAAACAAATTCCAAGTATTTGGGAAATCGAAATATGCATAGAAACTCAATAGGAAATCCAATAGCCACCAAACAATCTGAATAAAACATAACACCAAACAACCAGCTTTGCCTATATCACCATGCCTCATAAAACTTCAATAATTATGTGATTTGCGCCTGTTGCATAGCGCTAGACCTTTATCGTATCATCAAACATGTAATAAAACTATCATTATAACAATACAACCATCATTATAACAATACAACCAGTTAAAAAGTTAACTAAATCTATAACATAATGTTTATTGATGTGTCAACGGAACCCAAAACAAACATTTTTCCTATAAACATAGAGAAAATAATAAATAAAGGAGAAGCCTTTCAAAAATCATGTACATTTTTAGAATTATACCTTAAAAGCATTTGAAACTCCATGTCCACTACGAGCTTATAGCTCTTGAAACAGCATAGATGAAGTCCAAGACACCTGTACCCTTGAGAAGGCCTTTACCAGTTAAAAGTTCAAAATCGATCAAAAAGAGGAAGCCTATTATTGCAGCCTTTCCATTTATTAATTCATTCTTTGATGTGAAACCAAAAGCTTCAAAATCTTCATCAACCACCATTCTCACCTGAAATCCGTCAGAAGAAGGGGATGGAAAGAGGTCAGGCAAGTATTGTCCTCTTAGATAGAACATTCAGATTACCATTTCAGAAACATATCTTGCAAGTAAATTGTCATAATCACTCCAATTGATAGACTGATAAAAAGGGAGGTCAATCAAGAATAGTAGTATAAACTTACAAATGAATAAATAAAAACATGGAAAATGATTTAATTATAAAGATTCGTTTGATAATGTTGTGCTGCTCTTTTGTTGTGCTATTTGGGAATGCAACAGAGTTATAGCACTCACAGAGATAGACAAGCTACTCAATAAGTGTGTTTCTTGTTCTTGCAAAAATTAAAACATCCTTTCGTCTGAACAAGTTCAAAACATATTATATGATCTCAAACATGTATTTTAACATTGTACCTATGTCATCTTCTTTCAATTATTCAATATGGAATAATAGCAGAGCGAGAGAATGACCTCTTCAATATTTACATCAGACGCCGTAATGCCAGGTTGTGCTTTACCACTGAAAACAATCTCTGAAGATCCACCAGATTGTGCGTCTCCTTCCATGCTGATATAGATATTTTCACCATCAATTTTTATAGGATACACAAGGAGCTTTCTCAAAGCTGGTGTTAGCGCCCTCAGGACCGGGTTTTTGGGGTACCACTCTTTAATGTCCCCAGTCCGAAGATCAAATGTGCTGTCTGTTGTTGGGCAAATAATGCAACCATCCTGAAAATAAATGGGAAAAAATCAATCTCAAATATATTAACATGATAGAGATGTTTTTGTATGAAATGATATTAACCCTTATAACAGCTTTTTAGCATCTTCAAAGTATAAACTACTTTCCACTTGATATAATGATAAAACTACGATGAAGGAATGAAAAAAACTACTAGGGAATTTTATCTACGACTCCTTGAGCTTTTGACTATTTGTAAATAAAGGCAATATTTTTTAACTTCCAATATATATAGTCCTGAGGCTTTCCCCTTCTGAGAACCAAAGACACTTGAAATTTAAAAATCTAGAACCCCAGTCGATTTATCAGTGTTTTGTTGAACCCCAAAATTTTACTAAGATTGAGTCAAACCTTGTCAAATTAATTGGATTTGATGAATAGTAAGATCATTTTTGTAACACCTTGTGCAACAGAATTCTAAATTGGTTTGAACCCCGGGCCACTGGCTCCAAAATGACAGATGATCATATATAGTACTCGGCCTATAAGATAAAAGAAAATGTCTTCAAATAAATGTGGTTAATTATATTTCTAAATTTTTTTTTAAGATTGTATGCACCATTAATCCTTTCACCAGGAGATCTTAGGAAGAAGGTCTCAGGTGGCTGCGTTTGTAGCTGTAACAGATAAATCGATGCCCGCGATCTATACCAACGTTGGTACATCCCTAACTCCTAATTTCCTGTGCCCTCTAGTGGAGTAACTGATACCACGTATACTCTCCTTGCATACCACAATTGCGGGTGTGATCTATATTGTAAGTCCAATCTAAATCAGCTCTTCCACGACCATCAATTCTCCTAAAACTTTGGTCCATATGCTCAATATGTATGTGTTGAACACTCTCAAATTGAATCCTGACACGGTCAAGGAGGTGCCATTCTGCACACTTCCAATTGATTAGTGTCACACGTGCCTTCCAAATGTCCACCCCATCATAACATTCATCATAACATTGTTATGGCAAAGAGGCCAAAACTTGTTCTATGTGCAGGACCATAGTAACCTATCATTTTAGAAATAAGGAATTAAGAAAGCATAATGTTAGAGTAATTTATGAAGGTAAAATAGTAATATCGGACATGAATCATCCGTAACCCATCAAAATCATCACGATACTTCATTGTAATTCCTAATGGAAGCCCCCTTATCCAATCTTCTGCCCACCTGCACAGACATTAATTAGGATATGCCCAAAAAATAAGAATTTTTAATTCAAGTCATTGTACTTTCATACCTACATCCTAATGGGCGACCACCTAAGTCATATACATGAGGGACTCGCAGTGCGGATCTTCGAACATGCAACTGCTCCCAGGACCACACCTATAGTTGAGTAACACACCCAGCAATGTACGTACGTATCGGGCGTGTCGCATGGCATAACTCTCTGTAAAAATATTCTAGGACCGCTCTACCTATAGACATCCTACCAAATGTGTCCACGTCCATAAGAAAAGACAATCACTGCAAGGAGACATGAAAGCGTGACATATCTGGAATAAAAAAACATCCGATTATGTATAGGATATAGTCTCAGACATGCTAGAGAAATGGCCCCGGTGCTAAGTCATAGTATGAGTTCTTGTAGAATATCCAACGAAGCCATCGAAGTGGGAGCACTGACTCGACATGTGTTGTACTTATCCTAAAGGTAGCGATGTCCTCCTCATCACATGGTGCATGATACACTATATCCCTCCCAGGATGTGTACCCAGAAGCTCGTCGCAACAATCTAGCCAGCTAACCCACCGACGTCATGCACTAATTATATTTGCCCCCACAACTGTTGGGCCATCAATTCAGATACCAAGAAGGATCTGCAAATCCTGTAGTGTTATAGTCATCTCATCGATCGTAAAATGGAATGTGTTTATCAAGGGACACCATCTCTCAACCAATGTTGTAATGAGGTTATGATCAAGATGAATGAATTGTAAGTGACGTTCGAGTCTAAGCCAACGTTCCTCAAAATATATATCATCATGGGGCACTCAATTGACCATTCACGTGCCATACGTAAATGTGTCGTAGCAACCAAAAGGGGAAGCATGCACAAAAAATAGTTTGTTAATTTTTTACATTTCAAATGAACTAAGGTTCAATTAATAAACAGCTAGCGGTTCTTTTCACATGTTCAGGATCATGAGCAATGTGCTAATCTCCGAGTGATGTTATACTCATATGTACAGGCGTACTCTCCTCTCCAGAAACATCATGGGTCGGATGCCGCCCGGAACAACTACGTCTTGATCTATCGGCTATATCTTTTTTTGAAAAAATTAAGAATGTAATCAATATACTGAGTTATAAGAGATAGAATGAGTAAGCAATTGGTATAATAAATTTAGGCTATATAAAAATCGAATTGTTTGCAAAAATCACACGCCTAATGTGAGCTACTTGAGGGCTCATCCATCGTATTATGAAATCTATTCGTTCGTGGTCGACTAACACGACGCTTGAAAGATGGAGCAAGCAAAGGGATTATTCCATGCTCTTCGTTAAAGGTGGGTCATAGGTCCTTGGGGGGAGGGGATGACGTGGAATAATACGGAGTACGTAGCGATATAGTAGTTAATCGTAAAAAATGGTGCTACGAATGCATTATGATCCCATCGCTTTACTCTGGCGACTGAGATGACATATACGCAAGGAATATGATAAAGTTGTGGTTTGCTGCATGTGTACGTACAGAACGGTGAACTTATTATGTCTACCTTTTGAGGTCGACATGACATATCAATAACTTCAAATCCATTTCTATTAATCATGACTGGTTCCGGACACTGACAAGCATCACGCTCGGCTCGTTGTAGTATAATCATCGTGCGTGGAACAAAGCTTGATTGGCCTTCCTCAACCATTTTGCACCATCCGCTGATCACTTCAGGAATAACGTCACGAGGTTATAACATATTGATATTATTAGCCCTTGTATAAGAAGTCCACAAGCACGCCTAAGCACGCCATTAAAATATTCTGTTGTGTTTGTAGTCATAATACCATACTAGTGACCTTCGTCAAATAATAGGGACCATTTAGACACATCACACTACACCTACCAATCGAAGGCTACTTGCTTAGTCATTTAGATGTCATGCATCATGCGATTGGTTGGTGCAACGTGATGCGTCTAAATGGTCTATATAGAGAGTTATGCCATGCGACATGCCCGACACATATGTAAATTGTTGGGTGTGTTGCTCTACTACAAGTGTGGTCCTAGAAGCGGTTGCACGTTGGAAGACCCACACTACGAGTCCCTCATGTATATGACTTAAGTAGTCACCCATTAGGATGTAGGTATGAAAGTACAATAACTTGAATTAAAATTTTTTTGGCATATCCTAATTAATGTCTATGCACGAGGACAGAAGATCAGATACGGGAGCTTCCATCAGGATATACAATGACGTATCATGATGATTTTGATGGGTTACGGATGACTTAAGTTCGATATTACTGTTTTACCTTCATAATTACTCTAACATTATGCTTTTTTAATTCCTTTTTATTTATGGAATGATAAGTTACTATGATCCCGTACACAAAACAAGTTTTGGCCTCTTTGACGCAACAATGTTATGATGGGGTGGACATTTGGAGGGCACGTGTGCCACTAATCAGTTGGAAGTATGCGAATGGCACCTCCCTGATAGTGTCATGAGGCAATTTGGGAGTATTCAACACATACATATTGAACATATGGATCAAAGTTTTAGGAGCATTGATGGTCGTGGAAGAGCAAATTTAGATTGGACTGTACAATATAGATCATACCTGCAGTTGTGGGATGAAAGAAGAGCATATGTGGTATTAGTTACTCCACCAGAGGGTACAGATAATAAGGAGTTAGGAACGTACCAACATTGGTATAGATCGTGGGCATCGATTTATCTGTTAAAGCCACAAACGTAGCCACCTGAGAGCTTGAGACCTTCCCAAGATCTCTTGGTGAAAGATTAATGGTGCGTACAATCTTTAAAAAATTTTGGAAATATAATTAACCACATTTTTTGAAGACATTTTCTTCTATCTTGTAGGCCAAGTACTATATACGATCATCTGTCATTTTTGAACCACTGGCCGGGGGGCACGGATATAATTCCAGTTCAACGATTTGTCTACATAGACTACACTATTTTTGACAGTACTACAGAGGAAAGGGGACAACCAAGAGAACATGCATCAAATTCTTATAGAGGTCATGGTGCTAGACTGTCTGCCTCTGATGCTCCATCCAGATCCACAGGCAGCGGACACTGTCAAACAATTAAGAGAGAACCACCAAGAGCTTCCATGTACACTCCATCGATCGGTTATGACATGACTGTCCCCGGACCTTCCACACAACAATGAAGGCCTTACGGTGCTCAGGAAACATCTGTAGCAGATATGTACTATGACACAATGTCTCAACAACCCACAACGCATTCCTTCTTTCCCATAGCTATACCTGAATGGATGTCATAGGTTGGATTGTCATCTTCCCCATCTCAGCATGATATATTATTAATAGGAGGACAACCATCACAGCAATATGCAGAAGAATCGCAGCAGCAAGAAGAGGAGGTGATTGAGGAGCCACAACTTCAACGACGTAGACGAAAGGCCCCAATTGTGGAAAATAAATATGACTGTAGAGTTGTGCAAGCAATCAAGTCTAGGAGTGGCTAGGTTGAGGACAGCACTTAGATTTGCAATTGACAACTTTAAAACTTCCTAAAGTGTGCAGAAATTTACTGGACAACAAAGTAGTCAATGATTTAAAATGTTATAAACAGTGATATGCATGCAATGACGACTAAGAATGATTATGTAGCTCCCTAGGATGATTTCTAGCATGTGTAGCCTATGCTAGCCATGCTCTGATACCAAATGATGCAGGACTAAATGCAAAATAGGAAACTTGCACAAAATAATTAAAGAGCAATTTTGGATTTTCGTTATTAGCGATTAAAACAATAAAATAAAACTAATAAGTGGTCACTTTCGTTTAGGCTAAGCCACGCAAGAGACTAAGCGAAGTCAAAATATTTAGGAAAATCAAAGCATTGCATGCGAAGTAGTTTCTAACATAACCTTGGTCTAACAAAGAGATCCAAAAGCAAAGAAGTAACAAACCTACGCTTACTAATGGATGGCGATAAGTAAACACAATCTCTTGCTTGAACAATCTCTCCACGAAGTAAGTAGAATGTGAAAGTACACGACTCAAGGAAGAAGATCACTTTCTTGGAGAAGCGTCTTGATATACCACGTCCCTTCCGATAGTTCCTTCTCCATAGCCTTGGTCAAAATGAATAGTATGTAGTCGGCGGCCTTCTCTATGAACCCATCAATGTTTGGATTCAAGTTGAAGAATGGCAAAATGAGAAGATCCACGAAAACTTAATCGTCTTACGCAAGGCCGGAATCAAACTCCGGATTGGCCATACATCATAGCAAGAGAAAGAGAGAACACGATAGAAACAAGAGGGAGAAGATGGCGGTGGGAAGAGAGGCCGACGGCTTGTAGGGGGGGAAGGGGCTAGGGCTTGGAAAGAACTAGGTTGAGAGAATGTAGAAATATTCTAATCTCCAAATCTGAAATTATTTTCAGGTTTTTAGTAGAATTGGAGGGAAAACACTTTGAATTTGGATTTCAAAACAAATGCAATTAAGAGCCTTAATGTAGCATTTAAGGAGTGGAGCCCATACAAGGGGTTGGCGGCATGGTGAGAGGGAGGGAGCTAGGGGAAAGGGAGTTATGTATTTCCTAATCTGCTCCGACGAATTAATAATAAAAATTTCAAATCCATTCCAATTTCAAATTTAAAATTGAAACCTCATTGAAACTTTCCTAATTTGGCGTCGGGCAAATTTGGAAACTTTTAACTCTTCCACTTTGAATTTCAAATTTGAAAATACATGGGGTGGAGGTAAAATGAGCCGGCGATTAACGGAGGGGTGGGGGTGGTGGATGAAGGGGAGGCCGGCGGCTAAAAGGGAGGGCCGGCGGGATGAGGGTGAGGGTTTGGATTTGTGGTTGGGATGATGGTGAGCTTTGATAGGAGGGGTTATGGGGTGATGGTTGGCGGTGGGGATGGCCGGCGGTGGAAGTTGAGTAGAAGGGAAGAAAGAAAGGAGGAGAACCAAGAGCCACCGGTGGTGACTGTTGGGTACGACGGGTAGCCTCTCCTAAGCTCTACCAAACTCTCAAATTCTTTCTCAATCTCTCACATAAGCTTCAAGAACACAATTGCATGAAATTTTTTTGATTATCATTCATTCACCTCCAAAGACCAAAATGAAGGCTTTAAATAGCCTCTTACAATGACTTAAAACAAAAGGACTCAAATACCCTCAAAGGGCTACATGACTCAATCCCTCAAGCAAGGGTAAAAATGGGAAAATGCTGAAATAAAAATACATCAATAAGGAAACAATAATAAAATCAAAAGTACATCGGATAAATCGTGGCCTTTGATCTACGACCACGTCGATGGTAGACTTTCCAACTGATGTCCCCATCAAATACATTTGACAGAAATATTGTAATATAAGTGAACTAAACCAATATTTTTTGTTGGTCCTTATGCTTTTTATGTGCTATATATGATATCATATTTCATTTTATAATACTTTATTAATCTAAAATATAGATATTAGTTGTTATAATTACACATTTTATATTAATAATTTATAAAACATAGTGTCCATGACATATTGCATCTTATTTTTACTAATATCATGTCCTTATGTCTATGTGTCGCATCGATATCTTTGCTTAATAGATGGTGGGCTTTTAGCTCAAAGGGATATTTTAATCAACAGCTCTTCTGTTCTTTGCAACATAAATGCTGAGAGCCATTTTCATTGACTTTTTTTATTTTCCTTTCTCTATGTGGTAGTTAAGGAACTCCCTCTTCGGTGGTAACTTCCGACTTTTTAAAGCATCTATGATGCAGGTCATTGAGCTCTGCACCTACAATCGCGACCACCCACTAGTTACAAAGATTTATTTATTCATCAGGGGAATTTTTGTCTACAATATTTGGTGGGAAAATAGCATATAATTCACACGTCAAAAGCTATTAGATCAGCTGTCTTACACAGGATAAAGTTTCACTTTGCCCAAAATATTGGGATATGTAATCTTGTTTATTCAATGCCTTGGCCTATAAAATTGATGATTTAGTTCACAATTGGGAGCCACATTTGCCTAGTCCACCTCCTCATTTTGTTGGTTGACCTTTGACTATTGTGTTTCTCATTTCTAAAGGCATATGGAGTTATTATCCTTCTTTTTGTGCAATTTTTTCTTCTTGCACTTCTATGTCGCTGTTGTTCTTATTCTGGGTTGCACAAGGATTGAGTTATGGCTTTCTATTATTGTTGCATTTATCTGCAGAAAGGTAGACGACACAAGCTGGGCACCAAATGGTTTATTCCTATCCCATCCGATGCCTGTTTTGTTTTTCCAGGTGGTTTGGCGATCATTGTGATGCCTTCCTGTTACCATGATTCACCTTTCTTGATAGCTTCTTCTAAGTTGTGTCGTCAAATGGAGCTTAGGGCAAGCTTATCACTGAGAATAAAATCAAGCCTATTCTTACTCCTGAAATGCAAATGCTCCTGGCTCTCTGATTAAGAACCCACCCTTATCCAAGACCTCACGTCAGTTTCAACTTTTCAAATATTATTGCTTTGCTACAGCATTGAGCTTTGTTTAATGGTTGGGTGCTACATGTTATTTAATTATAATTATGTTAGCACCGTTTCTGTGACTCAATTGAAAAACTCTTTGGTTTATTCAATATTGAACGAAAACTCTTAGCATTCTCCAAAATAAAAAAAAAAAGTTCTGCTAAGGTAAGTAGGAAAACATCCAATTGATGAATAGTACTAACGAACCTGGGTGAGCTTAGCATTAAGTAAGCCTTCAGTGTAAGCTCCTTCAGCAGGAGAACGATTCTCAATCGCAAAGAGCTCATCCTTATACCACAGCAGCAATATCGTCTCTCCATCCTGGATAATCACCCGCCGCTCCCCCTTTGGCAATGCCGCAAGCGGCACAACCGGAACCCAATTCTGCCCATCATCATCACTTGCGGAAGCAACCGTTGGTGCCTCCCCTCCCTCCACCTTCGTCACCTCAGTCGCCTTACAGGATGTTTTCCGGACGGATCTCGATATCGGAGGCTGTGGCGAGAAATCAAGACGGCGAAGCTTCGGTGTGATAGTCGTTGGCCGGAAGCGGAGCTCGTTGGAGGAGGAGAAGAGGATTGTTGCAGCGGAGAACTTGGATGCGGTTGCCATGGAAGCGGAGGAAAATAACACTGTGCTTAGGTTATCGGAGACGAGAATGGTGGGCGTCGATGGAGATGGAGGGAGCTTGGGCCTGTTAGCCACAGGAAGAGGATAGACTAGGCCAGAAGGAGAGAGAAACATAGGGGGAAGATGAGGTCAGGGATTTGGCAATTTATCAAAGTCTTGAAAACCGGACCTAAAAACAAATTAAAAGAGGAAGAGGTTCACGGTTTAACCGGTCGAGATCGAATCAGATGACATAATAAATAATAATATTATTAAAAATTAATAACATAAAAATCATATAATATAAGTATATGAGTATTTAATAATATTTATAAAATTTTAAAATATATAATAAAATTTTATACACATAAATATCATTTATCTCTTTGCAAAATAAATTATGTGAGGTATCTAAGATAACTTGTATGTATTATGATGAAATAAATCATCATATTTAATAAAAATATTTTTAAAAGTTTAAAAAATTTTAATAAACAAAAATATATTTTTAAAATTTTAATTAAAACAAAAATAAAATATTTTTATGAACCGGCCGGTTCTTTCCAACCCGGACCGGTTCAACGGTTAACCGGTTGAACCGTCGGTTCAATCCGGTTTGATCCGGTTCTATGCAGAGCCGGTTCTAAAGCTGGATCGGACCGGCCACCAGACCGGTTCACGGTTGAACCGGCCGGTCCGGTTCAGTTTTCAAAACCTTGGAATTTATTGCCCTTTTTCAATTTTAAAAAAAATATTTTATAAAAGCATTTTTAAGATAGAGAAATACAAATTACCCAATCTCAAGCAAAAAGACTGAGAATTGTTTTGTTTGCAATATTGCATCCATCATTAGCATTTTGATTACGCAAGCATATACTTATTTGGATTGGAAGATGCCAAATTCATTTGAAAATTTTATTTACACTACCCAAAAAAATGGTGAGCTTATAAGAATTTCTTCATTTGGATTATCAATTTATCTTTACATCTACAAAAAGTGGGGAAGAAAATTAATGAAGGCAATGATAAATCCGTGATTGTAGTCAAATGAAGGTGAAAGAATTGTGTTGTCGTGCGATTGTAATTAGATGATGATAGTATAACGACGATGGCCGAATGACAACAATCAGGTGATGGAGATCAATCAATAGTCGTCTGAAGATGGTGATGTCTAGTGGTGATTGTTGGCATCAAACATCAAGTATAGCTATAAGAGTTTTTTAGATATCCAAGCTTTTTCTAAACTCGATTCCATATCTTTTATTTGTGGAGAATAGAGGTCTACTTATAATATTTTAAAAGGGGAAAATTCTATATTACTTCATTAGGCGGTTCATATTGAATCTTTTGACTATTCATTCAACATTTAGGCACTTTAGAGGCCTTAAAGTACAGTAATCCTGGACTTACTAGAATTGTATTATTGAGTTGCTTGATTTGAGCTGTAAGCATGCAAAATTTGGAGGTCGTTTAATCCTTTAATTAATGTTTTGAAATTTCTAATTTTACTTTAAAGCTTGATTTGGGCTCATTTAGACTATGATAGAATCACTTTTAATATTTTAAGATATGTTACGCCAAGACAATAAGTTTTACTATAAATTTGATTAAATTGGAATATATAAAGTTTTGAATTTAATGATAAAAGTTCCAATATATAGTACATGTAGATTCATGCCGATAAAGTAAAATTTCTTAAGAGGTATTGTTTTCCCCTAATTTTAGAACATCAACATTATTTCATATGAAAAAATATTTTCAATCTTTTAAAAAATCTATTAGCAAAAAATTACAATTTTAGAAAAATTACGGCTCACAACAGCTTCTTGAATGTCAATCTGGCCTTTCCCTCCGGGTCATGAATCAAATAAATTCCCTAAAATTATAATTTCAACTTTTATTGGAGTCGGCACTAAATTAAAGTAAAAATTATTAAACTTTGCTCTGAAGACTTTCAATTTGCTTAATCATATATGCTCTGTTGGGCTCTAATAATGCTAAAATTAAGTCCAAAACATTAAAATTGAAGAAATAGATATGTTTGAACCAAAAATCAGATCTAAAATGAGTCATATTGGTCAGTTGACCAACAACATGTAAGTGCACGTAAGGGTGTCAATATTTGACACGACATAAAAACCCAACCCAGAAATTTTGGGTTGGACCTGACCCGTTTGAAAAACAGGTCGGGTTTGGGTTGACCCAACCGGTTGCCGAGTAAACCCAGAAACCAGTTTTCGGGCCCGGGTACGGGGTTATTGCATGAATGAAGCATCTCCTAAGGAGGGGCTATGACATATCTAATAGTCTTATGGAGCCCTTAATGAATAATAGTAAGGAAGCCAATATTCAAGTAAATGCACTCAAACTTGCAAAATGTACGAACTTCTGCAAGCCACTTTAGGAGATGCTTCATTCATGCAATAACCCCGTCTACAAGTGACGAAAGTGAAGGTATTGCTAATGTCATAGAGCTTCTGGGAATGCAAACATGTGACATATCTTCTATGAGCAAGGATAGAAGATTGTAGTGAATGTGAATATCCATTCACAATAAGGGAAGGCTTGTGATGTGGATAACGATGCACCTACAAGTGTCAGTCAGCAATAGGTTTTAGGTGTTACAACACTCCTACAATCAATCATTATTTAATAGTCAACAAATACACTGAGCTTCTGCAAGCTAGAAATAAATAAATATATATATATATATATAGCATATGTAAACGGGCCGCTGAAAGAGATATGTTGTACACTTAATATGCCATCCACAAGCAAAATGCAGAATAACTACAATAAATACAAATGCCAGTGGTCAGCGCTAGAAGATTTGTATGCAAAGCAATGACCATAAACAAAGTCATCATGTAAATGCAGTTATCCACGAAAAATCAATAGGAGATTCGTTAGCACACTACAACCCACCTACAGAAAGCAACGAGTTGTGCATGACAGTCTACCTGTATAAAGTAGCAAATAACTCAATCCATAAGCTGATATAACACATCATCGGATCCGCGACATCCATGCAAGCGGACATAAGGCGTTTATAAATATTTTAAAAAAAATATCCTCGTACATGCACTATAATTTGTATACACATAGGTACACAAAAAGGAGTAAGTGCAATCATACATCTACATGAGCCCCGACGAGCGTGTCTTGGATATACACGTGACGTCTAGGGATACTGTGCGGGTCAATAAATTTGAACCCGATCCTCCTAAGCATGTAAATAGGAGTACATAAGATTCAACAAATAATTATAAAATACCCTCAAACACCCGCATGGGCCCCGACGAATGTATTATAAGTACACACATGACGTCTATAGATGCTACGTGGGTCAATAAATGAATTCAAGTTCTAACCCGATCCTTATATGCAGATCAATAGGAGTCAACAAGGTTCGAATCATTAAATAAATATACGATTATGGGGGCCGATATATTTGTTTCAATACATTCATATTGGGCCTTCAAAGCCTATAACAGTGAAAATTCACTAACAAAGGCATACAACATATGAAACACAATCCTTTGTCGACAAGTTGACAGAGTTAATAAGGTTCGATTAGTTAGCAAGAATGATCCCAAATACCCCGATGATGACCGTGTTGAATGCAGATCTCAACCATATGGGTTAATTATAATTATTCAAATGCCTTCCAAGCTCCACTTAAATACTCATGAAATTCAATGCTCCAAAAATCAAAAACTCCAAAATCCCAAACTCCAAGATATTTAAAATTGAATTGCATACATCAAATCACTTAAAGTTAAACCCATCCACTCTCCGCAACAGTTTGCCGAGGTGGACAAATTAAAATTTACTTCAATTCACATAAAGCTAATGTCTAGTCGAGAATATCACTATGATCCATTCTCAAATAATCTCTTGTCATTAAGGATGTGGTACGTGTCATTTGACCGGCGATTTTGTCGTCAAATAGTACCGCAGGATAAACGATTTTGACCCGAGGCCCTCTGAACCGAGTGGTTTTGCTGCAAAAATGACACCACGAAATACTGATTATGATCAAAGCCAATACACTCCTTAGTGGCATCAAATCCTTTAGATATGAATCAATAGGATATGATCGATAGGGAAAAAAACCCTCTGTTAGCTAAGGTGAATTCAAATTTCCCCTTAGACAAATACTCCCCCAGGTTTATAAGGTACCCTTTGACGAAGCAACCCATAGTTGCCGACAAGGATCATTCTGTCAGGTTGGGTCGACTACGTCCTCTAACTAAGTTGAATAGGGACTACGATGGCCGGGGACGACGAAAAAATGAGATCTTGATCGGGTCCATCATCCATTCCTCCACCATCTGTTTTAAGTGTTATATAGTGAAATTTCCTATTTTAAATATCAAACTTTTCTAAATTTCCAAACCTAAGCCCATGTTGCTATTATATGCCAAATAACATGTATCTCTACGTATCTGATGGACGACTAGCCTGAATCGAAAGATCTCTCTCATTATCGGGAGGAATAATTAACTATAGGGGTTTGCGCCTATAAGAAACCAGAAATAAGATCAAAAAATCCTCGCAAAATGAGGCCAAATTCTCTGGGTCATGTCTTATCTACAAACTCTTCTGTCTTCCAAAATTTACCTTAGAACTTAATCCCGTTAAAACTTCCCATAAAAGCAAAAGCAAAGCGAGCGAAGGCCAGGGCTGAATTTTTGAAGCCCACTCAAACAAAATCTAAATTAACTTCCTAAAATTTTGAACTTCACCACAAGAGCTTAATTGTTATTGTTCATCTTAATAACACGCTCAATTTAAATATATATTTTGCTAAAATTAAAATTCTAATAATTCTTCAAAAATTTCAATATATATAGTGGGCCCATCTAGTAAATGTTCTTGCCTCGCATGAGCAATAATTAAATTTATTTTGAGATTAATATAATAAAAAAATGATTGATTATATATATATATATATAACACTCCTTTTAAAATAAATTTATTAATTAACATACTCATCTTGAATGAAAATATTCGACCTGAATAGTTTGCCCTCAAGGTGATATAACATAGACAATAACTTAATCCTGTTTTTTTTTTACCCCTTCATTTTAAATCTTAAATTTTAAAATTTTCAAACAAATTTAAAGCTATAGGAAATTATCTGCCAAAATTTATTAACAAAAAATCTTCTATTGATAAAAAGATTAACCATACAGAGATTTTTACAAGTTTCTCTCCTAACTTCACCAAGGAACATAAATGGGCTCAAATAGAGCAAATATGCATAAAAGATAGAATAAGGCCTCATTTGATACAATTTTATTACTATTTTATTTTTAAAATAGCTTTTAGTACCAGAAAAAAATTTTAAACTCAAAACATGTGTACTAAAAAGCTGTTTCAGTTGACTCTTCATAGAATAAAATGGAGAAAAAATTTAATATAGCCGAATCTACATAGTGAGATAAATGCTTGTTGTTATCGTTGTTGCGGTAGTATTTAACTCATAAAACATGCAACATTCGAGTGATTTTGATTTTTTTTTGTATATTTTTATGATCTTATACCTATATTAAACAGAGATATCTGATAATATCATCAATAATTTCATAGCCTGCAATTAACTCACACGCATACTAATATTTTATACAAAAAACTACAGATGTAACGAAGATTAGGACCTGAAGAGTTTGAGAAGATTTTTCCATCACAATCTATCAGCAAGCTGTGGAAATCGTTGCAGCAGCCAAGTAACCGCACTAATGATAGCCTGCATTTGCAATCAAGAGCTTCAGAAAAGTCAAGATGGTTCTGGATATTCTATGGGAAATAAAGATTCAATACAGCTAGAATTTAAGTTCCTGTTTAAGGGCTCATTTGGTTGTTAGAAGTTAGAATAAATGTTCTGAAAAAAAGAAAGAAATTTGTTATGTTCATCATTTAGGCTTCGTTTGGGACGGCTTTCTTATTACTTCTTAAAGCTGATTTCTAGTACAACAATTAAAAATTTTGTACTAGAAAGCTGCTTTAAGAAGCAATAATTAAAAAAGCCGTCCCAAACGAAGATAATTTTCTCATTGTTTTTTAAAACAACTTTTTAGTACAAAAATTTCTAATTTAAAAAATTTTTTAACTAAAAGGCTATTTTAAAAAGCATTAAAAAGTTGTCCCAAACGAAATCTTAATTGGAAGTAATTAGAAAGAAATATTAGTTTTAAACTATGCAAATCTCCTCAAAACTCTCTCAAGTATTATGTTTTACTTTTACACATAAAATGAATGAAAAAAAATAATCTTTCTTTAAAAGCTGCTGTCAACGTAAGAGAAACCAAATGAGCAATATAACATGATTTTTATGTGATAGTGATCGTCAGGCAGAGAAACATATTTCACATAAACTTACCAATGCTGCTGCTCCAGGTTTTGCCGCAGGTTCTACACAGTCTCGAGCATAGCTGCACGAAGAACATACCATTAGCCTAATGAAGAAAATATGAAGTATGTAACGATAGACTGATCGGCTGATCCATAGCATAATTCATTGAAGAAATGGTGCTGAGATTCACTTAGATATGACATTGAATCAAACAGTTCTTTTTTCTGATTTAAGGTTACATCCACTACAAACTTTTGATATCAATCTTCTAATAATTTCAATTTGATCCGAACGCCCGTTCAAAATATCAGTAACCGAGCATGCAATTATAGGATTTTTTTTTTTTTTTTTTTTTTTTTTTTATAGGTTTTTTTTTTTTTTTTTTTTTTGTGTTTTCATGAAGGCAGGCATTTAATAAGCAATACTTGTGAATAGAAGAATCGTACACGGACATTTGAAATGCAAAAAATAAGGCCCTTATTATATATTTCTTAACTACTTTAATTTTGTTAAAAATAAATCAGGACACATTAAAGTCTCGTGTATTTTAAAAAACAACTATCACCGTGAGCTGCTGCCTCTACCACCACTGTCATCATTTTTCATGCTATAGATGTTGCCCCGCCGACAATTGCTTTACCAACACAAACTATTAACTATCGAGATATTGTCTACTTTGGCCTAAGGATCTCACAGTTTTGTCTTGTTGGTGTAATTTCTTAGCATATCACCCATCTTAGAATTTAGATGGAATGAGCACGCTTAACTGCAGGGTTTCTTACTTGAATTTTGACCATTACATCAAAAGGCACATCGATGTTTAAGAGTTTAGCTTCTTTTTACTTAAGGGATTCACAATCTCCCCTACTTAAGTAACTGATGTCCTCGTTAGTATCTTTATCCCAGAATCATTCACCAGCCAGATAGAATTCTAAAGGTGGCCCCCTACAAGTTTAAGTGGTGACTCCCGCCACATAGCACTTTGTCCCATACATGGCTCAAGAGTTGGCTCACATGACATTGCACTTTGTCTTATATGATACTTAGCTCTCATCATCCGACTGGTGTTTTACTCTGATATCATTTGTAACAAACTCACTCTTAATTATCGAGATATTAACCACTTTGACCTAAGGGCCTCATGATTTTGTCTTATTGGTTTAGCTTTCTTGGAGGTCATATATCTCAGGATTTCTCCGGGATGAGTACGCTTAATTGCTGAGTTTCTTAATGAAGTTCAGACCATTACCCTTATGTCTCGATGTTTAAGAGTTTAACATCTTTTTACTTAAGAGACAATTGTCATCACCACCGTATAAATCAATTTATTCGATCTTCAATTAATAAAATAATAATATATTTTTAAAATACCAAAAATCTTTTATTTTATGTCAAAATATTAAAAAACATGAAAAACAAAAAAATTTAAGGTGATTCTAAACAGCCTTTAAGATGATACACGATCTAACTTCAATATAAAAGTTATAAAATTAGGCTACATCTAAGTAGAGAGGAGAACCAAAACACTAAGAGCACACTTTCTAGACCCAACCTGCATCAAATATGAAGAATGTTTGTGTGCATATGGGAATTTTTCGGTGAAATGAATTTATGTGTATGTTTGATTAATGTTAATTTCACATAAACATGTTATGATATCATTCCAACAAAATTGCTCTCTGGATGACCGTGCATACAATTAAGAATCGTCCATTCAATTCAGTTAGCAATTTATGATACCGAATAATATAGGTATCTACAGTTTCAAATTCTAAAATCATTTGATGTTCATTTTTCAAATGGCTTTTGCACCTGTCTTCCTAACTTAGTGTAATATTCTATGCATATTTTTTAATAATTTTAATGATATTAAATTAATTTGGGCATATTTTACATGAAAAGCTTGAATTTTGGTAAAATAATGACTTTGGCAAATGACCTAACTACCCTTGGCATTATCCTTATAAATTATGTCCCTTCTCATTTTCCCCAATCACCCGTTTGGAGTTAAGAGAAAGTTAGAAGGAAGAAAGAGAAAGCTCTTATCCGCAAGCTTTAGATCCTGGCTCATGTTAAGCCAAGTGAGGAGGTTATTTTACTGAGGAAGGACACTGTAATCCTACTTTGGATTTAAGTATATATTATATTTTTTTATGTTTCTTATAGTATTTCTCATATGAATATTATTTTATATATTTACTAGATTTTCAAAGAGTTTACAGTTAAATTTTAATATAATCCCACCCATGCATTCCTCCAAACTCCTACACACTTGGAACTAAATTTGGTGAGGTATCATATGTATGCCAAATTTCCTATACAGTCCAAGCCATGAATGTTTAAGTACTTATGACTATATTGGAATTGTTTATCATGCAGAATGTTTATTGTAGGTATAGATTGTCCGATATGAGTACTAATTAGATCATTAACATAAAAATGTAAGTGGTTTAATTTTACATGCCTTACACATGACACTGTGTTAGGTTTGTAGGAAGGGATCAAATGATGACTTGGTATTGAACTCGATGAGCTAGTTCACCCTAAGTCATTAAGGTGGGAAACTGCATTTCTATTTAAGAATAATATTTCCTTCCTCTAGATCAACTGTATTATAGGTTTCATTTGGGTCGGCTTTCTTTATGCTTCTTAAAGCAGTTTTTTAATACAAAATTAAAAAATTTTGTACTAGAAAGCTGCTTTATGAAGTATAAAGAAAGCCGTCCCAAACAAGGCCATAATCTACTTGTTTATTAAGCTTTCCCTTTATTGGAATCTATGATGCACAGACACGGACACGGCGACACGGATACGACGCAACAAGGACACGGGACATGTCAATTATTGAAAATATAGGACACGAGCACGGGTTGGACACAGTATTATAATTTTTATATTTTAAAAATAGTGTATAAAATTAATTAAGTATAATTTTAAAAATAATTTTAAAATAATAAATCATTTAACTAGAATTTGTGCTTAAAATGATTAGTATTAGAATGTCGAGAGTCATGCATCGATGCCATTTATCAATCACCAATAAAGGAGATGAAAATACCTTCACTGTCAAAGAGAAATGAAAATGAGAATATTCGATGAATGGGTATTAAGTGCAGACGTTGATTTGATGTTGTGGATAAAAAATAAGAAATTTAGTTTAAATCCCGGCAAATACAAGAAATTATATTTTTAAAAAAATCATAAAATATTTAAGATATGCGTGTCTGACACGCGTGTCCAATTTGCATTTAATATTTTTTTTAATCGGACACATTTTCGGCGTATCCGACACATGTCGGAGGAGTGTCAGACGAGTGTCGTGTCGGATACGGTGTCAGACACTGCATGCCTCTTTGAGGAGAAGTGTCGGAGCATCATAGATTGAGATGTTCATCGAGGAAAAGTTATGCTACTTCAATTCTTTAATAAAATTCTTCATATTGCTATCAGTAGTACATGAGAAGTCACATTATTTAAGAAATTTCATAAAATGGTATAATCATCCTTTAGTTAATGTCTGTAATTTCCAAATAGCATATTACAGCTATGAATATTTAATCAGCTCATTCTATAGTTTGTTTGTAAATGCTATGTCATTAATATGGTCATGTTTATAATATTGTTATGTCAATGAGTTCAATTGTATGCTATTGTTATATATTTTTGACAATAAATGTCAATGATCATAAATTCAAATTCATTTTATAATTATGTCCACATTTAAAATGACATGCTACTGCTATGTCCTTGATTCTAAATGTAAAACCCAAATCGATGTTAATAGGTCGTCGCATGTTTTTCAAAGCGTCGCGACGAGATTTAAGTTAAATTTTCAATGTTAACGAAATTCAACGAAAATAATTTTAGAAAATCCCTTGCGAAATTCTGATCGTTTTGGTATATAGAACTTATACCCAATTTTGCCTAAAAATGGAATTAAAAAATGTTCGAAGTCTCTAAATACCGGTTTTACCCCAAATCTAATAATAGAAAAAATCTATTTAAAGCAAGGGCATATAGGTCATTTGCAAAACTTTTATTTCCCTTAATAGCATGAAACGAGACCTTCTTTCTCATTTCACGTGTGAACCGCACAAAACAAGAGGGACAGACGTCAGGCAAGGGGCGACGCACGGCTTCGTGAGGGCACTCCGGTGACGATCTTCCGACGAAACTTTTAGGTCAAATCGAAAAGGATGACGAGAGAAACACTCCGGTATGTTTATTTCCAAGCGAAACTTTCTCGATCTTTAAATTTTTGGAAAATGATTTTCTAGGGTTTTTCCAAAACCTAATTTTCTTTTAAAATTTCTTTATGGAATTAATAAGGAAAGATTAAGAGAACATTTTAACGGTAAAAAAACGAAGAAATTGGAGGAATTTTTGGAGATTTGTAAATTAGGGTTTTTGACCTAAAACTTAATTTTGTAATAATTCTTTAAGAAAATGATTCCTAAGGATTTTGGGAATAATTTTAAAGCGAGAATTTTGATTTTTAGTGGAAAACTCATTTTTGTAATTTTCCTAATTTAATTAATCCGAAAATAAATATTATAATTATAAATATGTGTTTAGGAATGTTTTTAGAGCAATATTTTAGTTAAATGAAAGATTTATAAATTTCCGAAATTTAAGTATTTATTTAATCCGAAAATTTAGGTTTATTTAATTAATTATCCTTTAAAAGTCGTAAGGAATGGTTAAGGGAAAATGCCGAGTTTAGCAATTAGACTTAGGAAGTTTGATTTCTAATTATGTGACATGTTTACTTTATAAACTTTATTAGGTGGTGATCATTAAAGTTCAAGGTGAAAGAATTTTGGTCGAAGCGACGTGTCGTATTTGGTTTGAGGTAGGTGTTCAGATCCCAGTTAAGTTTATAAGTGCTTTAAAAATTTTATACAACAACAACAACAACAACATCAAGCCTTTATCCCACTACGTGGGGTCGGCTACATGAATCCTTTTTCTCTATTGTGTCCTATTAAAAGTCAAATTCTCGTTTAAATCTAATAAAGAAAGGTCATTCCTAATATTTTCTAACCAAGTCTTTTTAGGTCTACCCCTACCTTTCTTAAC